CACTACTACTGCGACTACGACTAACTACTACTACTACCACTACTACTACTACTACTACTACGACTTCCACTACTACTTCTGCTACTGTTACTACGGCTACCACTACTACTACTACTACTACTACTACTACTACTACTACTACTACTACTACTGCTACTGCTACGACTACTCCCTACACTACACTACTTCTACTGCTACTGCTACTGCTACTGCTACTACTACTACTACTACTACTACTACTACTGCTGCTATTTCTACTACTACTACTACTACTACTACTACTACTACTACGACTACTACTACTACTACGACGACGACGACGACTACTACTACTACTACCACTACTCCTACTACTACTACTACTACTGCTACTACTACTACTACCACTACTACTACTAGTGCTGCTGCTACTGCTGCTGCTACTACTGCTACTACTACTACTACTGCCAGTACTACTACCACTACCACTACTACTACTACTACTACTACTACTACTACTACTACTACTACTACTACTACTACTACGGCTACTACTACGACTATTACTACTACCACTACTACTACTACTACTACTGCTACTACTACTACTACTACTACCACTACCACTACCACTACTACTACTACTACTACTACTAATACTACTACTACTACTACTACTACTACTACTACTACTACTACTATTACTACTACTACTACTACGACTACGACTACTGCTACGACTACTGCTACTACTACTACTACTACTACTACTACTACTACTACTACTACTACTACTACTGCTACTACGGCTACTACGACGACGACGACGACGACGACGACGACGACGACGACGACTACTACTACTACTACTACTACGTGTGCGTCGCTCCCCTAGGGGCGACGCGCACACCGATAACTCTTATAGTATATGCGTTATGGCGGGCGCTTTCTGGCCACACTGCTCAGGAAATTATATCCGACACGATTGGTCTATTGTGTGTTTGGGTCGGACGCGCGCTTCCAAGGAGGACATACAGTACTAGTATGTCTCTGTGCGTCCCATTGGGAGGCCACGAGAGGGCCACGGACTATAGACCACCGAACACAAAGTTGAGGGCCACCCTGCCTGCGTGGGCCAGCGAGGGCTACGCCTTACATGAGTTGACAAGGATTGTTACCACTGCCTGCCGACTGCGAATCTTATGCGCATATCTTCCAAAGGTAACACGGGGACCGACTCCACGGAAATAGCGCCTGTCTACCAGCAGGTGAGAGCTTGTGTCCAGTAGAGGTTCCTTGGGTAACCAGTCAACCAGCATTACATACGCTCCGATGTAGAGCATGTCCGCCGAAACAGTAACCACGGTCAGCGCAACTGCAGTCGCTGCTATAGGCGCCACCACACTTACACTCAACAGGAATTAAATCCATACATCGCAGCCTCGAGGAGAACCTAGAGATTCCAGGACGCGCTTCCTCCACGCCAAACCAATCTTGCCCCCAAACCAACCCACCTGAAGGTGCCCTCAGGCTGCCAGGTGCAAACAGCCACAGTCCTAACGCGGTCGCATAGATGAGCCCAGTCCCAAAGTCCTCTGAGCTCCGCCCTCTGTTCATGGCCGGAACGTACATATCTTCTCCTATTTCTTCGTTTCATGCGGAGGCACTGGCTTTGGAGGAAAGCGCGCTGTTTGTGAGTCGGTTGCTTGTAGCAAGAGCAGAGCAGTAGTCCGTAGATGGGAGTGATGTAGTCAGCTGGCCTCCGAGGGGCCTCAGGCTTAGCGAAATGAGATGAAGTCCTCTGAGCTCCAGAGAGTTGCTCGAATGGCGCTCGATCCTCGCAGAGTTGTTTCCGAGTGCCCTCGGACATACACCACACACACCCTCTGGGTCGCCCAAGCCGACGCCTCCTCCTCCTCCTCCTCCTCCTCCTCCTCCTCCTCCTCCTGGATAGACAGAGGGCACCTCGAAGCGGGTGACAGCTCGAGCGGCTCGGTCTTGGCTCTTGTTCGATCAAAGTTCTGTCTTGATGTTGCGTGAGGATGCGGCCTGGGGGATCGCACACCCACACGGAAAGACGAAGGAAGCGCGCACACGGGCGAGGGAGCGTGTATTACAGTCGGGGCCCTGAAGCAGGAACCCTTTTCGTGGGGGAGGGGCTCCGTGTTTCACAGCTTGCCTCAGGGTTTCCTTGTGTTCTCGACAGGAAATCGAAGTTCAACTTATGGAAAAAAGGGGCCTCGTTCCTTATGTAGGGTTCCTTAGGTCAACGCCCCGACTGTAGCTCGGGCCCCGTTTCCGTACACTGCCGGTGCGCTCCGTGGCCATACTAGGCGGCGTTCACCTCTTGGTGCGGGGGTGTCTTCCCCCGATGCGGAGTCCGTGTCAGCGTGCGCCCAGGAAGGTGTCTCTGAGCGGCCGGCATTCGAGCACGCATGCTTGAGGCAGAGGAGAGAGATCTATGCACATGCACCGAGTCTGGCCAGGCCCATCCTGAGCCCAGGATCGGAGCATATGCCCTCCTGCCTTGACCAGGAAGGCACATGCACCGATCCTGGGGCCAAGGACGGGCCTTGCCAAGATGGGTGCACGTGCATAGTTCCCTTCGCCCGATTGAGGCCGCTGACCCAGTCAGCGAAGTGCCCCGCAGCTGTGAGGCAGAAGTGCTCTGAGGTTCGGCGAAGCAGGCAGAACTGTACAGCTTCAGCACGTCGTTGAAGCGCAGCATGCATTTCCCACCCCGTTCGAGTAACAGTAGCGCTTTCAGTTCACACTCCGGACTAACCGTTTGAGCTTGGCTGTACATGTGCGCGATCAGGTAATGTCCATGCGTCTTTTTGGTCGTCCAGTGCTTGTCTCTCTCAGTGAGTCGATGGAGCCCTCAGTGTTAGCGATTCAGGGCGCAAGGCGCGCGTCAGTCCATCACATAGTTTTTCAGCCAGTGCGTCAGCGAGTCATGCATTCGCTACAGGCATCAACCGTGACTTTCCCGCCTTCCCTGGAGATGGTACGACTGCAGCGGCAACAGCAGCAACAAAGACTGACCAGGGGTTCAGCAGGCCTCTTTGATAAGGTACGATAAAGACTGACCAGAGGTCCAGCAGGCCCTCCGCATCGCCGATGCATCTCCGATGCGGCTCGATGCGGAGGCCGATTTTCTTTACGCCGACGGCGCCGATGCATCGGCGATACATCGGCGATGCGGCGTGATCCTTCGACCCCATCCGCTCAGACACCATCTGGGAGGCCTCACCAGCACCTGGACCAGCACAGGCTTCGCAGCGTCCCGCCAGACTTTCGCAGCGGTGCTGGATCCAGTTCGACGGCCGTCGGCCGACAAGGGTAGAGAGATCAGGGAACAACAAAGGACATAAGCAGACAGTCAGGACATGAGCATGGTGAACAACACAAGTCATGGACTGCTCTGTCTTCAGGACGGGCCCTGGTGTTCGGGCCGTGCCTTCGATCTGGGTCGGTGAGCCTAAAGTGGAAACCCATGCTAAGGAACACCCTGCTTGCCTCCAGGGTGCCCAGGGTCTCTTGGGTTTCGATGGTTTTGCGATGGAAAGCGTTACGCTCCCACAAGTCAGTGGACGTCCTGGGGTCTCAGGGGTAAGTTTCCTGTGGCCGACTTCTCGGGGTCGAGCTCCTGCTGTGTTCTTGGCCGAGGCTCGCTGTGGCCAGAGCAGCCCCTCCGTTCTCAGGGTCTGCCCCTCATGGGTCGCACGGCGATTGTGAGCTGCTGGGGATCCTCGCGTGCTTCCTTTGTCGGTTGGCTCTGGCCCCCCCCCTCCTCCCCTGGAGGAGGAGGAGGAGGAGGAGGAGGAGGAGGAGGAGGAGGAGGAGGAGGAGGAGGCTCTGGCCTCCCCCCTCCTCCCCCTGGCGCGCGGAACGCACCAGCGACGCCACCAGAGGCGCCCGGGGCCTTCTCTTAGGGGCCCCCCGCTGCTCCCTCGGAGGGGCCGGCGCGCGGCGCGCCCCCCTCCGAGGAGGAGGAGGAGGAGGAAGGGGAAGGAGATGTAGGAGGAGGAGGAGGAGGAGGAGGAGGAGGAGGAGGAGGAGGAGGAGGAAGAGGAAGGAGATGTAGGAGGAGGAGGAGGAGGAAGAGGAAGGAGATGTAGGAGGAGGAGGAGGAGGAGGTTTCTCAGACGCTGGGAGGGCTTGTCAGCAGCCTTATGCCTTCTTAGGAGGCGGCGGCGCCACCCCCTGGCGCGCGCCGCCGCCCGGCCAAACAGCTCCGCGGAAAGTTGGCCCTGCCGGGGTCCACACCCGTTCTCTCGGAGCCGACCTGGCCGTGGCGACAGGAGGCCTTCAGGAGGCCCAAGCGCGACGACGAACGCCGGGGAGGGCCTCGCCGCCGTCGCCGTCGCCGTCGCCGTCGCCGTCGTCGTCGTCGCCGTCGCCGTCATCGTCGCCGTCGCCGTCGCCGTCATCGTCATCGTCGCCGTCGCCGTCGCCGTCACCGTCGCCGCCCGGGCCGTCGTCGTCGTCGTCGTCGCCGTCGTCGTCGTCGTCGTCGCCGTCGTCGCCGGCGCTGGCGGCGCGCGCGCGGGGAGGAGCAGCGGCTGCCGCCGGAGGCGATCCGCGAGGGGGACAGCCCGCGGACGGCCGCCTGGCGGGGATGGGGGCGGGGAGAGGGAGAGGGGGAGGGGGAGGGGGAGGGGAGGAGAGGAGTAGGAGGGGAGGAGGAAGGCGGAGGAGGAGGAGTAGGAGGAGGAGGAGGAGGGGAGAAGCAGGAGGAGGAGGAGAAGCAGGAGGAGATGGAGGAGGAGAGGAGGAGGAGGAGGAGGTAAGGGGCAGGAGATCAGGAGCAGGAGCAGGAGGAGAGGAGGAGGAGAGAGGAGGAGGAGGAGGAGGAAGGAGGAGATAAGGAGGAGAGGAGCAGGAGGAGGAGGAGGGGGGGGAGAAGGAGGCCGTCGAGGCCAGCCAGCCAGAGGAAAACGGGGCTCGGAGGCGGTTGGAGGAGGGCGAAAGCTGGAGGCGCTTGGGAAGAAAAACAGAGAAACATAACCATGGGGAGGATGTTCGCCCAGGCTGGGTTGGTCTTCCCCAGCTCCCTCGAGCATCGCCCAGGGTGGGTTGCTTGGGGGGGTCTGTCTGCCGCTGCCGATTGCCCAGGGGGGTTCGACGGCCGCCCCTGGGGCCGAGGAGGAGGAGGAGGATGAGGAGGAGGAGGAGGAGGAGGAAGGAGGAGGAGGAGGAGGAGGAGGCGAAGAGGAGGAGGGAGGAGGAGGAGGAGGGGGAGGAGGAGGGGAGGAGGAGGAGGAGGAGGAGGAGGAGGAGGATGAGGAGCGGGGAGGAGGAGGAGGAGGAGGAGGAGGAGGAGGAGAAAGGGAAAGGGGAGGAGGCGGAGGAGGAGGAGGAGGAGGGAGATTACGGCTTTATTATCTTATTCAGAGCTATTCGGCGAGGAGGTAGGAGACCGGGATGCGTAGTCTTGTAGTAGATTCGTGAGTATTATTGATGTTCCTTATTGGATTCGGAGGAGGATGTAGGCCCCTTGAGGCAGCTGAGGGGGGGCGGGGCGCAGACTGCGGAGGGCCGAGGCGCGCCGCCGTGGCCGTCAACGACCCAGAGGCGCGCGCGCCTTGTCCGCCTGCCCCGCCTCCGCTTCCTCCTCCTCCGCCTCCGCCGCCTCCTCCTCTTTCTCCTCGCTCCTCCTCCAACTCCTCCTCCTCCTCCTCCTCCTGTCCTCCTCCTCCTCGCTCTCCTCCTCCTCCTCCTCCTCCTTCTCCTCCTTCTCCTCTTCCCTCCTCCCCCTCCTCCTACTCCCTTCTGCTCCTTCTCCTCCTCCTTTTCCTCCTCCTCCTCCTCCTGCTCCTCTTCCTTTCTCCTCCTTCTCCTGACGTCTTCTCCTTCCTCCTCCTCCCCCTCCTTTTCGATTCTCCCCGCCTCCTCCTGCTCCTCCTCTTCCTCCTTGTCCCACCTCCCCGCCTCCTGCTCCTCCTCCTCCTCCTGCTGCTTCTCCTCGCCCTCGTCGTCCTCCTCCGTTCCTCCTGACGGCTTCCTCCGCCCTCCTTCGGGTGCCCCCGAACGGCGTGGTGCCCACACCGTGTGGAGGAGTGCTGGCCTTTCAAACGTTGCGGAGGTTCCTCCAGGTTGTTTTTGCTTCGGGATGCGTTCCAGCAGCTGCGCCTCGTCGAGAGCACTCCGACGCTTCCGGGGTCGTCTCGATCGGCCGCCGGAGGCCCGAGCTATGACCCGAAGGCCACCAGGTGCCGCAGGTGCCGGGGGCCCCCAAGCAGTGTGGTGGCCACGCCCTGTGGTGAGAAGTCAGTGGGGGTTCGGGGTCATCGCACGCTTTCGGGACTTGAGTCGTTCTCCGAGGGCGTCTCGGGCGACCAGGGCTTCCAGGGCCCAGAAAGCGTGCGTTGACAGACTATGCGGTCAGGTCTCGTGGGGTCATCAGGCCGTTGCGCGTCTGTCACCTCACGGTCTTGGGACCCGCAACTCTCCCTGTTGATCTTATTGCTGATATTCCTGCTTATCTCCCTCCACTCCTTACACTTAACCCCTCCCTGTCGCACCCCGAGTTCGGTTGAAGTGGCGGGCCAGGCGTTTCGTCTGAGACTTCCTCATCGTTTATGGCCCTCAAGCTTAGTACTTGGCAACAGCTTCGCAGATGGAGGGCGGGTGGTTTTCAATGTGCGGCGCTCTAGCGCCGCGCACATCCGTTTTAACAAATCGCAGAGACTTTCACGGATTGAGGGTGGGTGGTTTTCATATTGTGGTTCTCGTTTTAGCGCCGCGCGTTTTCATCTCAAACATTGGCCACAGCTTCACGGAGTGAAGGCGGCTGGTTCTCGCTTGAGCGCCACGTACATTACCTTAAACAAGTTGCTAGAGTTTCACGGATTGAGGGTGGGTTGTTTTCAACATTTCATTGTCGCTCTAGCGCCGCGCACGCTCGTTTTACGCATTCGCAAGAGTTTAACGGACTTAGGGCGGGTCGTGTTCAAGATGTGGTTCTCGCTTTAGCGCCGCGCACATTCGCTTTAAAAATTTGCAAGGGATTCACGGATTGAGGGCGGTTTCTTTTCAACATGTGGTTCTCGCTTTAGTGCCGCGCACAGTAGTTCTAAACATCTGTCAAAGTGTCGTGGTCTCAGGTGGTTAACGCACAAGGAATGGCGATTCGGAACGATTCAGGAGTGTGAGGGCGCAGCAGTTACGTTAACTCGCGGTGCTGAAGTCCCAGGAATGGTGTTTTGGCGCGATTCACGATCGTCAAGACGCAGTCAGGTTGATTCGTGGTGTCCAAGTCCCGAGAATGGTGTTATGGCACGCTTCAGGGTCTTCAAACGGTTGCCTCCCAACGACGCAGTTCTTTCGGTGGAAATGAACCCTTCTAGGAGCCTGTGAAGAGGGAGCCTGGAGGGAGGGTTTATCCCAACATCGTTAATGTTTACACTTGTCCTCCTGCTTCTCCTCCTCCTCCTCCTCCGCCTCCTCCTCCTCCTCCTCCTCCAACTCCTTCTCCTCCAACTCCTTCTCCTCCTCCTCCTTCTCCTCCTCCTCCTCCTCCTCCTGCTCCTCCTCCTCCTTCTCCTTCTCCTCCTCCTCCTCCTCCTCCTCCTCCTCCTCCTCCTCCTCCTCCTCCTCCTCCTCCTCCCCCTCTTCCTCCTCCTCCTCCTCCTCCCTCCCCTCTTGCTCCTCCCCTTCGTCCCTGTACGGGTATTCTCCGGATAGCGAATCTTATTATGCTAATCCTCCCTCTCCTCCTCTTTCTCTTGCACTGCTCCTCCTCCTTCTCCTCCTCCCGAAGAGGAGGAGAAACGCGCATGTGTCATACACAGATCGAAGAAGCCAGAGGCGAACCACCGCCGCCGCCCTGCCTTTGGGAAGCGTCTACGTGGCCAAGGCTTGGGCCCAACTCTTTCCAAGATATTGGGCTATGTGCTCCCCCAGCCGTTCTGGGAAACCCTTGGGAGAAACACCGGGCAGGATGAGAGAGGAGGAGGAAAAGAAGGAGATTGAGGGTGACGAGGAAGTGGAGGCCTTCGGGGGGCGTCTTTGGGTCTCCTGAGGGCGCTTCCTGTGGGCCTCTTGGGCCCATGATTGCCTCTTGGGAGCCTCTGGGGGGCCTTCAGGAGACCTTTCGGCCTTCGGAGGTCTTGGGATGCTTTAGGGCCGTGTTGGAGGCCTCCGGGCCCGTTCTGGAGCTCTCTTAGGGCCATCTCGGGGGCTTCTTGGGCCGTCTTGGGGCCCTCTTGGCTTGTCTTGGGATCCTTCGGAGGGCTTCTGGACAATTCAGGCTTTCGGGCCGCCTGAGGCTGTCTGAAGCCCGAACTGGCGAGATGATTCAGGCCATTGCAAATACAGATGGAATAGAATCATGGTTGGCCTCCTGGCCAACTTGGAGCGTATGAGAGGCCTGTTGGGCCGTCTTCTGCCCATCTCGCGCCGCCTTGGGGCAATCCTGGAAGCAGAATCGGCCATATTGGTCTAACCGTCTTGTGGGCCATCCGGGACCGTACTGCGGCTGTCTTGGAGCCTTCTTCGGAGCAGTAGGCCATTTTGGAGGTCTTTTCGGCCGTCTACGACTGTCAGAAGCCCAGCATGGCGAGAACCTTAATATCATTGGAAGACAGTGCAAGTCAAAGAACTTGAACCGCCTTGGGGGCCTCCTGGAGGTTGTCGTGGCTTGATTTCGAGCGTCTGAGGGGCCTCTTTGGCCGTCTTACGGCAACATTGGACCGTCTTGAGGGCTTCTTAGTATTTGGCCATCTTGGAGGCTATCTTGGACTGTTTTGGGTCTGTCTTGGGGCCTTCTTTGGGCCATCTTGGATGTATTTGGAGTCGTTTACTTAAGCTATCAGAGGCCCGAAATTGCAAGAACGCCAGAACCATTCGAACCCACTTGATGAAAATCATTGAATTTGAGCCTCCTGGGTGCCTCCTGGGCCGTCTTGAGGGCATATTGGGTCATGTTCAGACCATCTTGGAGCATCTTGGACCACCTTGGGCCAGCTTGAAGGGCACCTTGGCCATCTTGGAGGCCATCTTGGGGCCAATTTGAGCGGGAACGCTAGTGGGGCCGTCTTGGTTGCTATCGTGGGCGCCTTCTGGGTGGCCAGCGGGTTGTGCCGGAGGCCCTGGGGAACCTTTTGAAGGGGTTCAAAAAGTCAAACGTCCATACAGCACACCAAGTACCCTTGTGGCAAGCACTTGGGATGACGGACCTTGTGGCCTTTGGCCCATCCCGCCACCGTGCCTGGTTAGTGGGCTAGAGGCGTCTTGGATGCCCGTCGGGTTCTTTTCGGATGTTGGGATCCTTGTGGGATACCTCCCTCTTGGGCCCCGCTGTGCTCGTGAAGCTTCTGGGCTCGCTCTTCCAACGCTGCCCCAGACAGACATTCAACCTCTCGAATAGAAACCAAGATGGAGGGTCTTGGCTGTTTAGACCCTCGGGGGGAGCCGCTTACTGGGCCCCAGGGCCGCGGTAACAAGAAACACCCAGGATGAAAAGCCCGCTCCTGGGGACAGGGCCTGAGCTTCCAGGGGCCACGTCTTGAGAACGTCAAGGCGCCAGATGCCCAGGCAGGCTTTTGATGAGAATTCGGTGTTCCAGAGCGTTCTGGAGTGCTGTGGAACGGCCGCGGCGTCTGACGCATCTTACAGACCCGCTGACCCTCAGAGTTCCCCGGTTTCGGGATCCCGCCAAGGGGGTGTGTGCCCCGGGAGGGGGGGGGGGGGGGCGTGGCTTCGATCGGTGTTCTGCACCGGGCCGCCCAAAACAGATGCCCTCCGGCCGCAGGCAGCTCCCGATGGTTGCCGATGGCTGGGGCCTGCGGGGGATATCTGCATGCGGCGGCTCTGTGCACCAGCGGGTTCAACTCGTGCCCCCCTTCAGGGTCCCCCCCCCCTTTGGTGGACCCCCGGTGGTGGGGCCTCGTCCAGATTTGTCCTCGTCCCGTCGGCGCCGCCGAGGTCCGCCCCCTCTCCGGGGCCAGCGCCAGGGGCGAGCTGGCTCCTCGGGGGGGGACCGCCTCGACCCCCGCTCGCCCAGGCATCGCCGCCTCTAGGGGCCCGAGGGCCCATCTCGCGCAGGCGCGCGCGCGGCCGCACTGCAGCTCAGTCGGGCCTGTGCCTCTACAGGAGGAACATCCAAAAATAGTGAAACATAGTCGGGGGGCGATGTTTGAGTATTGTTAAGTATCTGTTGCATATGTTTCGCGTATTTTTGATTTGTCCTCCAAGATCCGCCTGTAGGAGGACATGCCCGACCTGAAGCCAGGCCAAGAAACACCCTGCTGGCCTCCAGGGTGCCCTGGGCTTCTTCGGTTTCGATGGCGTTGCGATGGAAGCCGCGACGTGCCCACACCGAGAATCAGTGGACGTCCTGGGGTCTTAAGGTTGGGTTTCTTGTGGAAGGTTTCTTGTGGTCGGGCCCTCACTGTACAGCTGGACCGAGGTATAAGTTCGGGGTCGGTTCGGGGAGGGCACCTCAATGTTCTTTGTGTCCGTTACACGCTCTGGTGCATCCTGGGGAGGGTACCCTTTGGATGTTCTGTATGCTTTGGCCAGCGGAGGGCCTCATGTTCGCGAAGGATGTTTTTCTGTCCCAGGTCCATCGTCGACCCATCAGCGATGCATCGCCGATTCAGCTCGATCTTTCCCCCCTGAGCCAGTCCCCCCCAACAGTGCGCACATTGAACAAGCGAGCAATCGGCCTGTCCCGGCGGGCGCCCCTTGCAAGTTTCTTAGTATCCACCGATGGCCCTGTGGGGGCCCACACAAAGGCTTTGGGGCGCACCTTTGGGGCCCCCGACGAGCGTCCACGAATATGCCCCAGGATCGGCGTCACCCCAACGTATTGATACTATAGTGAAGACCCATGCCAAGAAACACTCTGCCTGCCTCCAGGGTGCCCTGGGATTCTTGGGTGTCGATGGTTTTGCTACGGGCAGCGTGTGGCGTCCCATACCAAACATCGCTGGACGTCCTGGGGTCTCAGGGTTGGGTTTCTCGTGGAAGGTTTCCTGTGGACTGGCCTCCACTCTATCTCAAAGGTTCCCTCTGCGGAGTGCCCGCCGTCTCGCTCCCCCCCTCCCCCGCCGCTCCCCCCCCCCCCCGCCGCTCCAGGCCCTGGGGCCGCAGAGGCGCGGCCTCGGCGACCGCTCGCGGAGCCCGGAGCTCGACGACTGGCTCGCCCAGCGCACCAGGGCGAAGCTGGCGCGGGGGGGGGGGGAGGAGGCGGAGGAGGAGGAGGAGGAGGAGGAGGAGGAAAATGAGCAGGAGGAGGAGCAGGAGGAGGAGGAGGAGGAGGAGGAGGAGAAGGAATAATAATACTGATAAGAAGAGTAAGGAGAAGAGGAGGAAGAGGAGTAGGAGGCGGAGGAGGCGGAGGCGGAGGAGGAGGCGGAGGCGGAGGCGGAGGTGGAGGCGGAGGCGGAGGAGGAGGAGGAGGCGGAGGAGGAGGAGGAGGAGGAGGAGGAATAAGAAGATTAATCATAATAATAATAATAATAATAAACAATAATAATACTATGAATAGGAATAAGAGTAATACTAATCGGAGGTTGATAGACCTCCTACCGTGACACGTCGATTAGTGAATTGGCCGTTTTCGGTTCGCGAGAGGGCGTCGCGGCCGTCATTTTCGCGGGTCCAGGTCCGTCGGTTTCGGTCCTAGGCCGTTTTCACTAAAGGGAGGTTTATTAAAGAGAGGTTTGTTCACCGCCGGAATAAGAAAAGTAATACGAAGACGAGCCATATTTATAATTATAAGACGAAGAAGGAAGCACTACTGCGAATACGAATAATAATAGGTACGAGTATTAATAATAGTATTAAGAATAAAGACGAGCATGAAGCATACGACGAACAATAATAATACGAACAATAATAATAAGACACATCAGAAGACGAATACGACTACTGCTAATAATAAGAAGAAAAGGAAGAACATGCAGACACACACGATTGCAACTAATACTACGAATAATAATGAGACGACGCATAAGAAGAAGAGGAGGAGGAGGA